AAAAAAAAACTCATTCGGTTATTTTTGTGGATTTTGCTCCGACAGGCCGAAACAGAATCCGAGTCCCTGGCAACGGACATCCAGGCCCCCCCCATCCAGGGGGTCATCCAGGCCCCCCAGACCTCAGTCATCCAGGCCCTACAGGTCCAGGGAGTCCAGGTGGGGGCCCCCGGGTCCAGAAACAAGGACCAGATTCAGAAAACTGAGGGAATATTTAGTCAGAAATCCAGATTTTTCCCAATAAGAGCGGACATGGAAAATGTTAATGATGCTGCTTTAGTCCAGATTTAATCCGGGAACAGGGGAGTGTTCAAAACCAGATAATTCAGGTTTTAGTCGCAGATAATACAAAAAAAATAGGATGGATATCCAATTCCGCCCACATCCAAGTCGGCCATTTTGATTAGGTCACCAATAGGAAGATCCCAGGCAAGAAAATCCTAATTGCTTCATGGCAATATAGAGATTAATTTTAAAATGGTGAAATTAATCTTGCAAACGCACATTTAAACTCTATACATAATATTATGTTGAAATAGTGGATGTTAAATAGGTTTGTACAATAAATCCAAACAAGTTTAACCAAAAAATATTTATTTCTCGCAATTATAAAGGGTTAGGATTAGAGTTAGGTTAAGGTTTAAGTTTAGGGTTAGGGTTAGGATCAGGTTTAGGGTTAGGGTTAGGGTCAGGGTCAGGGTTAGGGTTAGGGTTAGGGACATGGGCAGGGTCAGGGTTAGGGTTAAGTTTAGGGTCAGGGTTAGGTTTAGGGTTAGGACATCGTTTTTCTTCCGATTTCCTATAGACAGTAACGTTTCGTTTCCACCTCAGAAAGCTGCTAGTCACATGATCTAATCAAAATGGCCGACTTGGATGTGGGAGGAGTTGGATATCCAACCGAGGCTCCTACAGGCTGCAGCCAGAGGTCACCTGCTCCTTTTCCCCTTACAGATATCCACCAATGGCGGCGAGCTGGAGGACGAAGACACGAGGAAGGGGAAGGAGATCCTGTCCAGGCGCCCGTCCTATCGGTGAGGGCGGGGCAGACCATGTGGGGGGGGGGGGGGGGGTTCTGACCACTCACACCTTCTCCGATTTTGCTCCCGGGCAGGAAAATCCTCAACGAGTTATCGTCAGACGCACAGGCGGTGCCTAGAATCGAGGAGGAGCTGACGGAGGAAGAGTCTCCAGCATCCGGCAGCCCCATCTACCAGACCAGCTCTGGACAATACAGTCAGTGGTCACACTTTCCCGATCCAGCTTTTTCACTTCCGATCCGATCCCGGCCTATCAGAGCATGTACTAAAGTTAAGGTTATCTATCTACTTACTTAGTTGTCAGACTCATGTTGAACAGGGATTTACTCTGATAACAACTTAATGGTTAGGACACAGACCTGTGGGTTAGGAGATGCTAATGCTAATGCTAATGTGGGATCGGACTTTAAAAAATAAAACTGGATCTGGAGTCTGGATCGACATTTTCTCCTGCCGGCCGATACACATTTTTTTGCAAATATCGGCGGCCGATCCGATCCAGTTTTTTTTCATTTTCAAAGAAGCTTTCGATGTTTGGAAGCTAAATGAGAAGAAAAAAAAGGAGCTGAAAAACTGCTTTACACGGCAAGTCCGTCTGGCTGCAGACTGCAGGAAGCCAAGGATGGATATCCAACTCCGCCCACATCCAAGTCGGCCATTTTGATTACGTCACCAATAGGAAGATCCCAGGCAAGAAAATCCTAATAGCTTCATGGCAATACAGACATTAATTTAAAAATAGTTAAATTAATCTTGCAAACACTGAAATAAACCCTATCCATAATATTATGTTAAAATAGTGTATGTTGAATAGGTTTGTACAATAAGTCTTAACAAGTTTAACCCAAAAATATTTATTTCTCACAATTATGAAGGGTCAGGGTTTGGGTCAGGATCAGGGTTAGGTTTAGGGTTAGGACATCGTTTCTCTTCCGATTTCGTATAGACAGTAAAGTTTCGTTTCCACCTCCGAAAGCTGCTAGTCACATGACTTAATCAAAATGGCCGACTTGGATGTTGTAGGAGTTGGATATCCAACCGAGACTCCTACAGGCTGCTTGAAACATCCGACTATCAGACCACTGAAACCCCGCAAAACAACAGAGTCTGTGACCTATAGATTGGGGGAAAAAATGCAATAATTTGATAATTTATAAAGATTTCTGCTTTTACACGGTGGAACCCCATCTCTACACAGTTGCCGTCTCCCAGGCGACGGCCCTCCAGCTGGGCAGCCCCCCCGATGGCCTCCCGGGGGCCCAGACCCTGACGGTGGGCGGAGCCCCCCCGCCCGGAGCCGCCCTCCTGCAGGCCGCAGACTCCCCGCACCAGTTCTTCCTCCAGGGGGGGCAGGTGCTCATCCAAGGTGGGTGTCCTCCATCCTAATATCCAACTGGGAACCCAAGATTATATGATAGCATACTATGATAAAGTGAGTAATTATAGACAAACTCTAACATGTCCCCTTAAAAATGGCAGTTTGGTTTTGGCCGGTAGTGGTAGCGATTTTCTGGGGCTTTCAGGGACACAGCTAGAGTCCGACACCAAAGTTGTGTCTTTTTTTCATCCCCTAAGTTGTGTACGAATGTTTGTTTTTCGGGGTGACGTTGAAAAGTCAGGCTCAACCCTCAGAAACCAGCCGTTTGGACCAGTTTTGATCTCTTTGCCCGGTAGCGGTTTTCTGGGGCTTTCAGGGACACCGCTACCGTTTGACACCAATGTTGTGTCCTTTTTTTATCCCCAAGTTGTGTACGAATGTTTGCTGTTTGGGGTCACCACCCATCTGGACCAGTTTTGATCTCTTTGGTTTCTCTCCCTACAGTCCCCCCCTACTAACCGGTCAGAGTTGGACTTTTGCTCGACTTTAGTGCTGACCAGCCAGCTTTATTCTCCATTTTTTTCTGAATGCTTTTCTTTTACCGGCCTCCAGCTGTCGCTCTGACGGGGTTCAGACGGGAATCTGAATCTAGACTCGAAAGCATCGTTCCCCCGAAACGAAACCGGATGGATTTATGAGCAACTGAAACTTTTCTCTCTTGACTTATTTCCTCAGAAGGCTTTTTCACTTGACATAGACATAGACAACTTTACTGTCATTTTGTGTGTACGGAGTGCACACAAAACAAAATCTTGTTGCATACAGCTTAAGACAAGAACAGGATTCTATCATTTCAATAATTTAGCAATGT